CAGATACTAAATAAAGCCTCACAATATGACATAAAGGAAGCTGAATACAACCAAAGCTTGTTTTGTACCCAATTGGGACATCACTGCTGGCTGAGCCGTCGGATATCGCTGTGGTTGGATGATTATACGATTTGGGTTGCCGCATGCGATACGGAAATACCGCCACAATGCCATCGTGCATGGATGCCCGTCGTTGGCGCGTGCGGCTTCATCCGATGCAGGTGGCCTTCTTTTCTCCTTCGCTGCCCGCTGCAGATCTGTCTTGGCTCAAAGGAGAGAGCTTGTGTTGCAAGGCTAACGATCGACCGGGCAATTGGGCTTATGACTACCCTTGAAGGTAGCCAAGTCCTCTTAAGCATAGCCATAGCCGTCCATCAGCCAATGCAACGCAACTGATCATGGTCTTTAAGAGTGTTTCATCTACAGAAACCCTCCAAAGAGAAGAGAAAAAACTCTTCCAGGAATTATTAGATCCCACCGGCATTAATCTGCTCCTCCATCCCGGAGGCTAAAGGTGGGTATCCCAATTGAATTGCAACGTATTCGTACAACGCTGACGCTTTCAACAGGCCGGTCACTCAACCTGGTGACAGAGAATTAGACCTCCTATAGGTAATCCAAGAACATGGTAATATGTCTTCTATGGATGTGAGCTACTGAATCGCGTGCTCTTAGATGAATCATAGAGAGCTTGTAGTCTGTTGGGTGATCGAAGTCTGTGATATGACATCAAAAATCTCCGCACCAGCCCTCCCGTTGAGCCAGGCCACCAACAAACTCTGATTGGAGTGGGACGCCTATATAAGGTGATATCACAGCCACGATGCCTGATGGCCCTGGCACTGGAAAGATTTTGCCATTAACTCGTCGTGATGAGTTTGAATTGCGCCCTGTCGCAACCCCTGGACTACCCAGACACAATGAACGGAAATCAAACTTTTCATGACGTGAACATACAATCAGGTGTTAGAGAAGAGCATGATTGCTGGGTATATGATTAATACACTAGTGAGAAAGGTTTGTTGGGCTAATGGCCTAGATATTCCTTGACCTCGTAGTTCTTCTTCGCATAAAAGAACCACAGTGATATGGTGATAATGGCAATGCCCACAAGCACAGCCGAAGCATAATTCATTTGATCTGCAACAGCAGGTAGGTAATAGGGGAAACAGTAGAAGATGAGTGCAATCGCAGACCATGCAAGCATGACTATGTTCGCAGCAAAGCCAAGTTTAGGATACCAGAAGGGGCCGTGTTTGAAATTCGAGCGGCCTTGGGAAAGTGCCAGGACAACCGGGATACTGTAGCTGATGTATTGGAGTAGCAGTCCTGTAGATATGAGGGAGTTGAAAGCGAGGTCGGATGCGAGGTAAAGGCAGCCGAAGATGGCAGTCCCTGATGCGGAGAATATCAATGACCAGGTAGGCGTATGCAGCGGGGAGGGCGCAATCTTGCTCAGGTGATGGTGCATGGGGAAACCGGCCTCGCGGCTGATGGTCCACGCGAGCCGAGACTGCCAGGTCTGAATAGACCAGACGGCGCCGATGGTTGTGATCATGACGGGCACCCAGAGACCCACTGAAGCAGCCTTGCTGCCTGTGATGCGGTAGAACAAGGCCAGGGCCGAGTTGTCGTCGGCTCCGTCAATGACGGGAACGTTAATGAGAACAGACGTGACAACGAGGAGTCCGGAGACGAGGCCGACAACGATAGTCCACATCAGTGCCTTTGGGATATCCGTGCTGGGCCGGGGCATCTCCTCTGCCAAGTGAGTTGCAACGTCGAGACACGAGAAGCTCCAGTTGGCGCCGTTCATTCCGATGATGAAGGCGATGCCGTTTTGCCAGCCCGAGATATTTACTGTGGTAGCGAAGAAGTCTTTCGCGGAGGCGTGCTCGTCCGACATGGCGAACAGGGTTATGAAAATGACGACGATGGTGGTGCAGCTAAACAGTAACATGATCTTGGAAATCTTTGGCAGAAGGCTCTCAAAACTCGCACCGAAGACGGTGACGATGTTGAGGAGTTGGAAACCCAGGAAACCCATCCACCGCTTATAGACAAAGCTTGGATCGAGAAGCGTGATGATGGAACAGATGCCGACAGGCACCGAGAGACACGCCGACGAGCCTGTGGCAACGGCAGCAAGCCAGCTGATGACGGCCGTGATGTACGACAAGAACCGGCGAGAACTCGGCGGCGCCAGCCGGTGGACCCAGATATACTGCCCACCTGGGTGCGGCATAGCCGAAGCCAGCTCCGCGAGAGTTGTGGCAGTTGCGAGGCCGACAAAGGCCATGACGAGGAAACCCCAAAAGAAGAGCGGCGAGCCGCCCATGGGCAGAGTGCTGCCGAACACTAGCAGCAGGCCGATAGCCGTGTTTGTGGTTCCGTAACCAATACCGAGGGCGGATAGAGTTGTGAATGGCTTCATGGTTTGCACGGTGACGTCTCCGTGGACGATGGAGCCGTGCTCCGTGGCTTCATTGTCCGCTTTTTCGGGCATGGCGGCGACGGCATTTCGTGTTGTGGCCGCTGAGGCCTTGTCGAGTGAGGAGGATCGCTGATCCATTGTCGTATTGCTGACTCAAGTGTTCGCCAAGGGCGAGGTCCCGTCCAAGATGACTGACTTTGTGAATATATGCGTAGGCAGTGGAGGATAGAGGGAGGGGGCTAGACGGACATTGCCTCCCTCAAGTTTTGGGGGTGGAGTATCGAGGGACCAAGTTAAGTAGACGCAAGTTTCTTGTGCATGTTTGTGTGACCAACTTGATCCAACTAGATGGCAGCACGAGACTCGCGTTGACCGACCAGAGGCAGTTTGATAAGCCGAGATACCATCTCGTCCGCAGAAGACAGCTTGGAGATAACATATCCCGGACTTGTTTCCTGGGGTTGCCGCGCTATCGGCTCGCATTTCGCACGCAGTTGCCCGATCCGGCAAGCCAGAGCGGGCCCCTATCCGCTCCCGGTGCCCCGCATCCCGACCCCCTCATTCGCCGACACCGGCAGAGATTGCGGGTTCGCTGCAGCGGTACGATGAGGGTAGTAATGGACACGATCATATGGTTCGTCTGAATCGATATCGAGGTCAATGTGGATGAAGATTGCGTCCTTAGAGCCCAGGATCTGTGTTCATTATCATTTTGCTCAAGAAGCTCTGGGGTAGCGATCAGTCTCACCTCTCCAGTCCTTATGACGGTGCCATCAACTTACATCAAATCTGACCGAAACTTCAAGATGGGGGTTGAAGATGAGCTTTCATCTTACCTCAGTGAGTAATCACAATCAAACCTCAAAGGCATGCCTCGCTAACCAATTGCTCCAAGATCCCGAAACAGCCAGGTTTCTCCTAACAGTTTCCAAGGCCATCTCCCAAGACCCAGGCCTGCCCAGGCCGAACCCAACAATATCATCATGGCAGGTTCCAGAGCACCGCCTGGCATCAATCCAATCTCCCACACTCCCCAAGCAAACCGACTTCGCGGTCATTGGGTCCGGCATCACCGGTTGCAGCGTCACGAAGACGCTTCTCGAACACCAGGCATCACGCAACGCCCACGTCACGATCCTCGAAGCCCGGACACTCGTAAGCGGTGCCACAGGCCGGAATGGCGGACATCTCGTCACTGCTTCGGGGCATACTTACGGCCCCATAGCTGCGCAACACGGCGTCGAGGCAGCGAAGCAGATTACCCGCTTCTCGATCCTGAATGTTGAGCGAATCATGAGAATGGTTAGAGATATGGACCCGGAGACCCAGGAGCGGTGCCAGATTCGCGATGTTCTCAAAGTCATGGCTGTTGGTGATGATGAGACATGGGTCGCTGCCAAGAGCTCGGTATTGGGATTCCAAAAGGCCGTCCCAGAGCATAGTCAATATCACCGAATCATCGAGAGAGACGATGTGCCAGGAGTACGTGATTCGGGATGCTACAGGAGGGTCTCGGAGCTTGGTTGACTGACCGTTGGATCACAGAGATGGAACATCAAAGATGCAAGCGGGGCCGTAGAGCACAACGCCGGAGCCATCTGGCCGTACCGTCTTCTCATGAGAATCTACGAAGGTCTTCTGATCCAATACCAAGACCGACTAGCAATTGAGGCAAACACGCCCGTGCTTCAGGTCAAATTCACGTCGGCCGCCAACCCAGAATACCCCTATCTCATCACGACTCCAAGAGGCATCATCCGCGCCAAAAAGGTCATACACTGCACCAACGGCCACGCATCACATCTCCTCCCACAACTAGCAGGCCGCATATACCCCTTCCGCGGCACGATGTCCGTCCAGAAACCCGGCCCGACCCTCAAGAACCTGGGTGCTTCGCGCTCGTGGAGTCTGTCTCACAAACCGACCCTGGATGCCCGGAGCGGTCTCTACGTGACGGGCCTCTACTATCTCCAGCAGAATCCTATTACAGAAGGGATTTGGATCGGGAACGAGACGGCGTACATGAAGGACATCTTGACTTCTGATGATACCTACGTTCCGAAAGAGGCGAAGGATGCTCTGTCGACGGTGCTGCCGAAATTCTTCCTTGAGGGGTGGGCACCTGAGGCGAAGACGTCCGAGGTGGAGGCGATTTGGTCTGGCATCCAAGGTCACACGGCTGACGGTCTTCCAATTGTAGGTCACATTCCGGACTCTATCGCGGGAGACGCCGGTGGCGGACAATGGATCGCCGCCGGGTTCAATGGGTACGGGATGGACAAGTGCTGGCTTACGGGCGAGGCTTTGGTCAGGATGATATTTGGGGAAGATGTCGGCGACTGGTTCCCGCAAGCGTACATAGTCACCGAAGAGCGTTTGCGAGACAAATTGACGTCGGATGAGACGTTGCTCAAGTTTGCAAAGCTCGCGAATCCTCAAGGGGTCAAGCTGTCCAAACTCTAAGCTAGTCCCGACTTGCCTATCTAGAGAATCAATGGAAAACTGTCATGGCCGAATAGAATATAGTTCATAAAAGAGACACCGTGCATCATATTAGCTCCCCAAATTAGCCCATCATCGTCCCGAGATTCTTCTCACGCGCGATATCGAGCCAATACACATCCTCCTCACCAGCATCCAGCGCCGCCCACGTATGATCAATCAACTCAGAAATGACCCGACTCTTCCGAAGCGGCAAAATGTGCGTATAAGCCGCCAGCCGCGACCGCACAAACTTGCGCGCCCTCGCCACCTCGATAGACGCGGGGTCGATATCCAACACATCCGCCCCGGCCTCACCGTACATAGCATCAGGCTGCCGTAGGTGTTGCGGCTCCCTCCTCAACTCGCTCGAGATAGCCACCATGATGAAAGGCTGTGCGCTTCGCGTCCGGGATTCAAAGGGTATATCTCGCAGGATACCGAGGATGTACATTGCAAGCTTCGTCAACCACGTCCTCCTCTCTCTCGCCGAGGGGGCCCTGTCGCTGTCTGACCCCGATCCCGCGGCGGCAGATAGCGGAATCGGACGTAGGAGCTGCTCCCGGTCCCACGGGGCATACCGCTCATTCAACAAATCTGGAAACACGCGGTACAGCTGTAAGAGACCGGTACACCGGTACGCCTCGTCGATAAGCTCCAGATGCCGCAGCGGAGTTTTCGGATCGCCTGGATCCGTGACGCGAGATAGGTCCGGCGGACGATGCGCAAGAAACGCGCGCTCGAGTTGTCTTGCGGAGCGGAGAGCGGCGCGGAAGACATCCAGGTCCGTCTCGGTGAGGAACTTCACGGAGGCCATGTGTTTCCGGTACTGGAAGATGAGGATGCCCGTGTCGGTGAGCAGTCGGACAGTGGCGTGGGATATGCCCGAGTAAGGGTGCGGCTCAATAGACTTCGACGGGTCCGCCGGGCCGATGGATGTGGTGTGGTGGTAGTCGCCCAGTTGGGTGCTGTCTGTCAGGTAGGCGAGGAGCATGGCCCAGTAGTCCATGGTGTCGCTGAAGAAAGACAAGCTCGCGTCTGCGTCGCTGCCGCACGTCTCGGCGGAGACGTCTTTGAGCATGCTGCAGCTTGCTCTGAACATGTCTGTTGCGAGGTTCTGGGGGCTAAGCCAGCTTGATGTGTGGCCTAGGAGCGTTGATGAGAGAAGCATGGCCCGTTTGTGTGTTGTAGTCATTGAGGTTGATAAAGGTAGCGCCGAGGGTCGGTCGCGGATGAGTCTGAGGGCGTCGCCGTGTTCTCTCCGGGCGACGGGCAGGAGGTGCGGAAAGTCTTCCGAGAGGCAGGCGGCGGCCATGCTCTGGATGGTGTGATATAAGGCGCCGGAGGACTGCCACATTGTCTCGACGATGTTGCGCATCACGTTTGTCTTGCTGTCCCATGCGCAGTAGAGCGTGATGACCTCGCGGAAGAAGTATTCGGAAAGTGATGTTGGCAGATGGGCGAGCTCTCGTGGGCTACTCTCTAAGAATTGTTTACATGACGTGGATTGAGTATTATCGAACGGGGGCGGAATACTATTCTCCTGAACATTGGCTACGGAGCTCTCACTCTGGAACAGATGATCCATCTCCCGGTCCTCAGCTTGAGATGACGACGTCGTCGGGCTGTGGCCATCAACAGTCCAGGCTGAGCTAATAAAAGGCGCATCCCAGAATGGCGTTGTAGGAATCACATTCTGGCTGCTAAGAAGCAAAGCGCACGACGAAGCATCAAGGGAGGGCATCTCCTGTGGCAGAGCAGGAAGATCCCACTGTAAGGGATTTGCGAGCCATGGGTCCACGTGTTGCAGCACGTTAGCGTCGACATGGTTTGAGGTTGGCGAAGCGGCTTCGATGGGCTGTGGACTTGTTTGAGATGCGGACTCTCGAGGTCCTCGTTGTCTGGGTGAGCCTTCAGCTGCGGCTTTTTGATCGACGCGGACTTGGTGCTTTCGCGACCAGCGCACATTGAGGGCGTAGCCGGGGCACTGAATTCCTCTCTCCTCACACCGGGCGCATCCAGGTTTCCTCTCGTCGCATTTGGTCTAGCAGCATCGTGTCAATTTGTGTGATGGAAGAGGATGGGAGAGATCCCACAGTATCCATACCTTTTTCGACTTGCATCTGAGGCATCCGCCCCTTGATTTGGTATGCATTGCTCTGGAGGACTGCATGAAGTGGGGTGAAGCCAAGACCCTTTATATTCTGCGAGTCTTGGTAATGATACAAAGATGATGATTTCCAAGAGTTCGATCTGGATGAATACACGGTTTTCGCCCTAATGACTGTTCAATGTAGTGGATGAGAAGTCAAAGTTGGAGGTTGGAGTAGATAAGTTATCATTGAGTAGACCGACCTAAACCCCTTATCTCATTCGAGTCTAATAAGGTACTCGTAATGAGCGAATGCTAGCGCATCCCGAGACCCCCGGCCCAGCTTTGTGACAATCCCCCGCAATTTTCAACTGCATCTAACGCGAACCCGGTCATGCGGGGGGAGGGGTCTCTCCGGCAGACGGCAACTCAGAGTCAAAGTTTGAATAGCATCGGAACTCAGCTCTTGGCATTCAAGCATCGCTCTCTATCTTTCCTGGTATCGATAGAAAAGGAGGCGTTTTAATCAAGAGTTTCACTCTTCACAGAGTCTTCACCATGTTTTCACCAATCCAATTCACACACCATTCAATACCAGACTCACATACTACGGAATACAATTCCTCACTCACTCGCTTACCCGCCACCCCTACCGTCCCCAGCCTTAGCTCCAGGCTCTCTCACCATGGTAAACAACCGAATCGCATCCCCTTCATCATCACAAATCATCTCCCTCTCAAACACGAACCCCCACCGACCATAAATCTTTACATTCGGCACATCCTTACTAGACTCCAAATAACACTTCACACCCTCCTCATCAGCCCGGTCCGTAACAGCCTTCATCATCTTTGCGCCTACACCTTTGCCCTGAGCGGAAGGCAGCACGACCATGATGTTGAGGAAGTAGTATCCCCTAGGATCAGTCCAGATCTCGCGCTGGGCTTTGGCTTGGGCTTCTTTCCAGATGTAGTATCGCTATATTACTCGTCAGGGGGGGGTTGCAGGTTGAAAATGAGGTAAGATGAGATGGGAGATGAAATACCTTGACATTCAGCCCCCCGCGTCCATACCACAAGTTATAGTTCACCTGTCCAAACCAAAGCCGCCACCCCTCAAACCAATCATTCCACGTCGGCGGCGCGTCGGCGGGCTGTGGAGGAAGCCACATTGCTACGCCGAGGACCTCATCACTGCCTTGTTCTTTTGCGACGTGGAAGATGCCGTTGCGCATGCCCCATCTCATACGCAGAGCTAGGGACTCGTAGTTTCGTTGCTGGTTGAACTATAGTACGGTGAGCATCCTGGGAGATATAGCTTGGCGGAGTTGGGATGAGGGTGTACCTTTGATTGATCGTATACCCAGACATTGTACGGGTCGCCGCTGAATGCTTGTCTGTGAGGCGTAGATCATTAGTATCAAATTTGAATTCGACGTGGGTATCGTGCCAATGTCTGTGATACTCACTGCACTGCTTTAACTGCCCCTGGAATATCCGCCTCTTTGAGATCCGTAACTTCAATCGTCATCTTAGACGTGGGGTGAACTATCGATGGTGTGTTGAATGGCAATGAGGTACACCTGATCAATGCAACTTAGGGATCTAGAATAAAGAAAATTTAGCGTGAGTGTCGCGTGAAATCAAAAGCAATAATCTCAGCCAGATTGAATATTCAATGTGAGATTCAATTGACATAAAGACCAGATCAATTCTCTTGCCGGCTGATAACTACAAAGCAAGCCCCCAATCTCCAGGTCGCATGTGGTCTGCGGGGTACAGATAGTGTTAGTTCAGAAAGATTATCAAAGGGAGATAAGATCGCATAGACTTTCCGCGAAAGGCAAGGCGGGAAACTCGGCGCAAGCTCAAGCATGCCAAACCTCACTCACCCCGCGTGCCGGCGCCAACTCGGCTCCTCCGCAGATGATAATTCGAGACCGGACCTGAGAAAGAGAGAGAGAGCTCTTTGCCAAGGACCCCTAAACTCCAACCACATTCCACGCTTATTTCACCTGGCTACGGTAGACAGACCGACAACAGGACCCTTGGACTTCCTCTCACTTCCCCGCAGAGCTATGCGTGGATCATCCGCCCATCGGGAACCTGTGCGACAGTCCGAACATGTCTGAACCTACATATAACCTTTCCCTTCCCTCCTACCGGAATGACGTCGGATGAGTGGCGAGAGGACAAACACTTGGCCACTGCATTTTTTTCTCACTTCTTTCTCTATTTTTCCAATGTCGCATGTTTCAATTTTCAGCCAGACAAGGGACGCGTCAGTGAGGCAGGCGCAGCCGGCGCTGAGGCCAGCTTCGTCCGACTCAAGTGAGCGACACCAAGTTGGTGAAAATCAGAATCAATTGCTGTTGCTGTTGAGGGGAAATGAGTTTGAAGATGTGATATGCCATTGGTATTCGCTTAATTATGATTATTTTAGATATGCAATGCTCATTCGCCATGAGGAATGTGTCAAAAGCCCACCAGAAACCTGTGGTGGACGGGAAAAGTCGTTGAAGGCTCGCTCGCTCTTTGGGGGAGCCTTCCGATGCTTTCCGGGAAATGAAGAAAATCTCATCTCAACATCAACGTGTCGCCATGCTTCCTTCTATGCATCCTTTTCTTCAAAATAAGGGGCTTCGGTCCTTTGAAACACGACCGATATTCAACCCCCAAACCCATAAATCCAAACGTTCTCTTTTGACTATTTTCCCCTCACAGATCCTTCTTCTGCTCCTGGGGAATGGGGTTTCCCTTTTCGTCGACAAGACCCTTGGCGCGCATGACCTTGAGGGCGTCGTGGAGGGGATCGAGCTCGGGCTGGGGCGCGCGATGGGAGTCAAAGTAGTTGTCGGCCCAGGTGAAGTACTGGCCGTAGTTGACGGTGAAGTACATGTGGTGGAGGGTGTGGTGGGCGGGACTGTTGATGTACTTTTCGAGCCAGTGACCCGAAATCATGTCGCCGTCGTGAATGAGGATGGTCCAGATTTGAACGAGGACGAAAAGGCCCATGTAGAGGTACTTCTGGATAGGGCAGAAGAAGACGAAGACACTGGAGAATGTTAGTTTTGTTGTTGCACGTGGCTGGCCACCGAATTGAGGCTCAAGTAGCTCCCACTTGGTGATGGTGATTCTTGGGGGTTGACTTACTGGTAGGGCAGAGATTGAACGTAGCCGTCGAGGGGGTGGAAGGCGAGGGCAGCCCAAGGCGTAGGCACTGGATACAGTCAGTCGAGGCCATAGAAATGGGTGTCGGTCAATCGACCGGAAAAAGAAGGAGTGAGATGGGGTGACATACCAATCCACTTGTGGTGTGGCTTGTGGATGTACTTGTAGACGGCGGGGTGGTGCTCGAGGCGGTGAATCCAGTAAATGGCAATATCGTTCCAGACCATGAAAATAGTAGCTGAAATGGCCATCCACCAGAGACCATACTCCTCAACATGGGTGTACAGCAGACTCTTTCCGCGAACCTCGGCGAGGAAAAATGGCAAAGTTAGGATGTTGATAACGGGGACGGCCTTCATGGAGGAGATCATCTCCTGGCGGATCTGGTTCTTGAGGAAGCGCGGGTGATATTCGAGACGGCGGTCAAAGATGAGGTAATAAGACAGCGGACTGAAGATCCAGTAGAGGGCGCAGGCGCCCAGCTGGGTGATTGCGAGGATGGAGATGGTTTGACGGAGGATACTATCGCGGGGCCAGGCGGAGCCATACGAGTTCGAGAGGTCTAGTGGTGATGATGAGGCAAAGGCGTCGCCGGTCGCGTTGTATGCGCCGGTGTTGGCAGTGGTGGGCGCAGGGACGAAGTAGGCGTAGGCCTTGTCCAGGACCAATGGGTCGAGGAGCTCGAGCGCGACGTCCATGATGGGCCGGCTTTGTGTGTGGCGTGGTTGTTCGTTGTTTGTTGTCTCTGTTCGGCAACGGGTTGCGCAGGAGAGTGAGAAAGACGCAGAGACGCAGGTGGTGGGATGCGTGCGGGAGGTTGTTGGGATGGCAGCTATCGGTATGCCAGGTGAGGGAGGGAAGAGAAGTGAACGTAAGAGGAGGCGAAGTGTAGATGGGAAGGAAAGGAAGGGCAAAAGAGTCACGTCGCCGATAAAGGTGTTCCGATGAAGTTGCGCTCGCTCGCAGCTCGGTCGGTCGGTCTGGCGGTCCCTCTATTGCTGTTGCTGGCAGCGCTGTTGTTGCTTCGGCGTCTGCTTTCTGCTCAGGGGCAAAGGAAATAGCAGAAACATTTTTGGATCCGTTTATTTTCGCCCACATTGGCACATTGGAGCAAATTAGTCAACCACCGCCCACCCCTCCCACCAAAGAGCTCCTTCCGTGGTGCGCGCTTGCGACCAGTAACATTGGGCGACAAGGGACGGGACGGGAAAGAGGGATGGCAAAAAAGTGCGACCACCTAGGTAGGTACCTGCCTGCACTGCTGCAGAGGTACAAAATACAACAAAATCAGCACATCAGGCAAGAGGGAGGAAGAAAAAAAAGAAGGGACCCGCCAGATGAAATGATGGCGCTAAGCTTCATCTGTTCATTTAAACGAGGTCGGGCTGATCGTTTTGGCCACTCACAACAGCCTCTGCTCTGCATCTTCCCCTCTAGCGGGGTCTTCCCACCGGTACGTAGCTTCTCAGTCAAATACATGTACACTCCCGGCGCATTCTGGTGCCCTGGTGGTGGTGTCACTTTGGTAGTGGCCGCCGCACTACGCAGTGATGGACATTGGACACACCCATCACAACAGCATGGCAGGGTGCGCCAACGCCGTGCTTGTGCCATCTGATTTGCCAATCCCTTTCTCGAGTACACCGGATCTGTTCCTTCCCCTCCATTACCACCTGTGAGCTCTCCTCAATTGACAGCGCTGATTTGGCGCATTCAAGCAGATTGTTGAGCTGTACACAACATCAAGCAACCGCAACAATTTGCGACTTTCGGGCTACTCGGTGTCCGTGCGGCGCCCCGAAGACGGAGTTACGAAGTATCAAGGTGGGGCTGATATCGCCGGATTCCCAATGGGATTTCAAGGAGAAATGGAAAGCGGGGCGGATCTCTCGGGAACTCGTGCTGCCAGTCGAACCATTCTGCCACCATTCTTCCATGGCCATTCTCCATCTTCGCCACGGGTGAGCACGGGGAAGACATGTGGATGGCATATCCCAGCATTCGGGATGCGTTATCCTTTTCTGCCATCTGGATTTCCTGTCATCACACTTTTATCCGTGTGGCATATATGGTGTTGATGAGTGATACGCCTCTGGCGCGTCGATCTTGAATGCCGAACGTCTCTCCACTGGACCTTAAGTTCAATGCTTCTGGTGTTGCTAGAATACCGCATTCTCATGGCCCCTCCAGTGATAATGACAATGGTAATTGCTTTTCGGACGACTCAGACAGGGATCTCAAGCAAACACCAGTTTCGCCCATGCGACAGTCTGCAACGACTCGCTCGTTTGAGAATGAAACGACACTGATCAGGGCGAAAGAATCTCCCGTTGGCAAGCTCTCAACAGCGACCCAATTGCTTACAGGCTTTGATAGCTCGGTGATGATGGTTCTTAGCGCGCTTTTCGTATTCGGATCGCCCAAGAGCTTGGGCGCTCCACACGATCGACATTTTAACTCTAGCGCCTCACGGAGTGTGGCAGCAGAACAGGCTGAACAGCTGCCCAATCACGTTAGACAATGAGCCAAAGCTGTGGTAGAATATCTATCCCAAGTCTAGAACGTTGGATGGTAGTTGTCAAAGGCTCTGGCAGAAACTCTACTATCAACCTTCCATCAAAAGACTACCTATGCAGGCACATGGAAATTCGTGTAAGATACCTAGGAGTAGGCCAACAATTGATGGTGCTATCAGTGAGGTGCAGTATCACCGCGATAACGTTGCTTATGTAATTGCCATGAATATGCGAGGAAGGAGCCATCGCAATACTTGCAACCCCCCGTCGCTGCTGCACTGTTGCCTAAGCCCTTATGGGAAGCTCATTCGAGATGAACAACTTCCCTTCTCCGCAAATCTCATCCCAATTCACTTCATCTTCTCAGACCTCTCTCCCCATCGACCTCCCTCTCCCTCTCTGCCCGCCTCCAACAACGGCGCGGAACCCGGCCTCGCAGCGCCAAGATCGGACGTGGGGACCGTCTTCGGACGTTCGTTCCCAAGCCAATTGCATAACACGACCCTCGTTACTCCCACTTGTTCCTGGCGTCGATAAGGGGATACCTAGACAAACGACGTCTCCCACCAGAGCGGTTCGCCGCCGTCGGCCCCGGTTGGTTCGCACCCATCCATCCACGCATATCCAGTATCCGCAAGTCAGCCGAGCCGCGCGATGCCAAATACAGGCAGGCCGAGTCCAAACTGCCATTTGTGCCGGAGCCGAAGGGTCAAGGTGAGAGAATGAGACATCTAGACGCACAATTTCCGTATGAGTACTCAACGAAATCCGAATCAAAACGGGTCCCTCCCGCCCTCCCGCTCCCGCTCGCAAGTGCGTAGCGTCGTCACGTGTTATACCTACTCTGTGCCTTTGGTTCACTGATGGATACATGTACCTACCTATCGTACCTACTTTGCCTTATACGTGTGAACAATCATCCCAAGTCTCCATCGCCTTGCAGCTGACAACTGGGGGGTCCGGCCGTGCGCGCCGTGCCCGCGGCATGCAAAAAGTGCGATTTAGGCCGACCTCAGTGCCAAAGATGCATCAAGTACGGGGTCCAGTGCCCCGGCTACCGCGACGATGACGGAATGCGCTTTCAGAACGCCGATCCCACCTCGTTTGAGCGACGGAAGAAGAAGAGGAACCACCAGCACCAAGACCAGGACGATGAGGCGGCGTTGATGACCAACTCAAGGACCGGGACCCTACAGATCATAGAATTCACACCTGAATTATCGACAGCGGCATCGATCTCAACCTCGGCGTCCCCTGGGTCGAGCCGCCAACCGAGCCGGCAGTCCACACCTGCCACGAGCGTCACCACTGACACCACTACCTCGACGCAGTTATCCGTAGCACTTCCCGTGCTCAAGACTATCCGTCAACACTGGACTGCCGAATCCATCCCGCTGGTCCTGGGATTCTACGAGAGCCTGGACTTTCTTCCAGGCTTGTTCAGGGGTGCCGGCCAAAACCACTGCCTCGTGCTCACCGGCCAGGTCTTTACCAGGGCCTACATGATTAACAAGTTCCGTCCCAGGGCCGACTATCGCGAGCTGTCCATCGTTCTCGGCCATGCTCTGGCCGCGGTACAGGAGGCTATCAGAAACCCGAAGACGTATACTTCTGATTCAACGATCGTTGCGGTTTGGTTGCTTGGGAACTATGAGGTGAGTGAAGAGGCTTATAACATGCTATTCGCATGACACTCAGCCCAAACCTCGGTGTGCAATGTGCTGGGCTGTTGCTGTATTGCTTTTGGCGACCAGGGGACTAAAACAAAATTCTGGCAGCTGATGATTGGCGGGTTGGAACGGAGATCGTTCATTACCAATAAAGAAAGGGGTTCGTCGCCCGAAGTTCCCTGGCACATCCACGGCCAGGGCCTCCTCAGCCTCATGCGGGCAAGGGGGGACCGGCAGCTCTACACCCGGTCCGGCCGTCAAATCTTCTGGGTCATGCACAATATGATTGTAAGCAGGATACTCCAGAACTACCTGCTCTGGTTTACTAAACCCGTATGTTAGCAAGTCCAACTCACGATTGCAAACACACCTTGTCCCCCGGACTTTGAACGCTGGCTCGACATCATCGAAGCAACCCTCCAACCCAGCGAAGGCCTCCTTCTTCACACTGCCCGCTACCTCTCTGCAGCATGCTCCCTTCTATCAAAACTGATCCCGCTAACACTCAGCGGCGATGCCTCCCGCGCCCGGGCAGCATACCCGGCCCTCATTGCTGAGAGCGACCGGGCAGACCTCGCCATGGCGGAGTGGATGCACGCGGCGCCCGAGTTCCAATTCGAACCGGGGCCGATGTGGGGCTACTTCTGGAACTCGTGGCGGAGCGCAAGGATCAAGGTGCACCACATGATCATTCTTATTTCGAATCTCGTCGAGTATGGTGAGCCGTCGCTGGTTCCGGAAGATTACGACGTAGACTGTGGTGGGTGTCCGTTGTTGAACCCGGAAGTCCTTCACGCCCGCCGGGAATTCTGCATGGGCATCATCGCGACGGCCGGTCGGGATGTCGTGGAGGGGATACCGAGGTCGTTGGGCGGGAAAATGCCGGACCTAGACCCGGATTTGCCCTCGTCGTATTTCGATGGCGTGAGGTTGATTTGGCCGCTGAGCCACCTGTACATTCTCCCCACGGCGCCGCGGCACCTGCGAATCGTGGCAAGGGATGCGTTGTTGAGAATCGCCAAGGAGAAGGGGATCTTGACGGCGTTGAAGCCGAGGGCGGGCGGGATGCTGTTCCCAGAGGCGGCGTTGAGGGGCATCCCGGTGGATAATCTGGAGGATGTTATTGAGGGCGGCGGAGGAGTGCATCAGATTGCGACCAAAGTTGAGGCGCAGGATTGATGATACTCCACAAACAAGGTCGAATGGGAGTGAGCTCCGAAGCTTGGAGCGATTATGTTGACTTCTATGAGATCTCCGAACTGTAAAGTCGGGGTTTAGTAACTTCCGTCATCTGGGTGCGGACCCGACATTTCGCTGTTTTCTTGTTGTGGGTTTCTACGGACATAATCAAGTTGTACCCGCCGTCGGCTTGTTCGCTCGGGGTATTCGCCGGTCGGTGCTAAACTCAATTCGCCGATGAACATGACATCGATATTCACACAAGTACACAGCCCTGCCCGCCAAAGTGAAAAGGTGATGTTCGTGCGCCTACCTAGTTCTTTTAGCTTAGCTCGGGGGGCTCTGGAGGCTGCTTACGCTCGCATAGCTTGCTGCTCCCCCTATGGTCGATCACTGACGATCGCACCTCTGCCTTTTACCCACTTTGCAGTCTGATTACCCTTAGGCATAGACTATCGTGGGATCGCATGTAAATTTGATCTTCCTTCATAAGAACCCTCCCAGCGAAGGGAAGTCTCCCTAGAGAAGACGATTGAAAAGCGGATGCCGTATTGAATGCGTTAGAGGGATTCAAGAAACCCCTCAATATGTTCAAAGCATAAGACTAGGCACCAACGACCCGCATCATTGATCATGGATCGCAACATTCCTACCCCGGCTCACTGGCTCAGGGAACGAGAAGCTTGTTTCGACGTGTTAGCGCCAGATTTGCGCTGCGGCGGCCTGCGCCGTTGAAAGCGGGAGGTCTGTAATTAGACGGTGTAGAGTTAGTGGTGCAAAAGAAAGAGTTTGATCAGTTTGCGGTAGAGTACTGCAGGGCGTAAGCAGAGCCCGGCACTTCTGAGCCGAGTAAGCCTGCCTCATGCCGGAAGAGGAAAACCATTCGACCCCAATTTTTTTGCTTGATCTGGGCCCTCAGAGCGTCCTCGAACTTTGAGGTATTTGCGCGGTGATGAGTGGTCGCTGGTGAGACGTGGTGGTAGGATTCTGGCCGTGTGCCGGTTATCCGAGTCGCGAGATAGGGCGCGACATGAAAGTAGGGTATCCTGAGACCATTCCCGAATAGTAGCATTTCTCGAGGTTATGGGGCTGCAGAGTCAAGAGTCAAGACTCTGGTGGCTCAGCCACGGGATTGACGCGCCCTGTGGATTTACATCAGTCTGTACGGAGTACGGAGTATGACATGCCTATGTACTCCCTACTACGAAACTAAAGGACAATACTAGCAATGAGCTTCTATACAGAAACGGAAAAGATCTTTCCCCGTAGAGATGATGAGTAAGATGCATCGTTAATCGATAAGGAGGCCTACCTACTCCCGCGGGCTTAGATTGCGTCTAGATAAGGTACGGCGCTACAACCCCTCAACCACCCCGGCGCGCCGCTGATGCGCTTCGACAGCTTATTGGATACCACAGCGACCGTTGGCTTTGGAGGAAGGCGGAGTTGTGGTTAGCGGAGGATTTTCCAGCGAATGTAAGTAAGCGAATGCGATGGATGGGGACGCCGATGCAACGGACGCGCAGGCTGGCGGATGGGGCCTGAAGGCTTGTTTTCTGACTTACAGCTAGCTGCCTGCTGGGTATGGGGCCCGGAGGAATGTATGGGAGGACTCCCTCGCGTGTAAGGTGGTTTTGGAAATGATATAACTACCGGGCTTGGGAGCTCAAGTTATCTGGAGTATTCGAACCGTCATCAACCTACTTCACTCTAGAATACGACTAGCCTGACATACCTGGTCCTTTAGTCTTACTATGCTTGTTTACGAAGCTCTTATCCAGGCCCGCGGCCTTCTTCGCGACAATGACAGCAGCTCTAATAGCACCAAGGATACCTGCCCACACATCTCCCTCGCCGAAGGTCAGCATATTCACTCTCACCTAGTCTGTCATTAGGTACCCAAGCTTCTTTTACTAACACCAATCCAAGATGCATCTCAACCCCTCTTTGGCACCATGTCCTTCTACACATTCAACATGATCCTCTCTGGTAGCTTCGCCGCCGCATCGTGTCTCATCATCTTCACCCTCATGATCCTCCACGCGACGCATCTCAGCAAGAGTAACGAGCAAATCAAGTGCGTTCCCCTCCATTATCCATAAAAATTACGAACCCAGATACGGTAGAGCTGACAGCAGAAAATAGAATCCTCAGAATCTCCCTCATCATCCCCTTCTGGTCCATCATCTCTTTTCTATCAATCTGCTTCCCCACGGCCGAGGTCTACCTCCACCCCTGGCTCGAGTTCGTCCAGTCCATCTGCCTTGCCACTTTCTTCCTCCTCCTGTGCGAGTTCGTCTCGCCTAGCGAGCAGCACAGGGATGTCTTCTTCGCCGGCATGACTGTGAAGAATAAGAAGGCTGCCAATGGGGAGGAGAATGGTCTCGAGTGGTATAGGGTTAGTCTACTGCATCTGGTCAAGCACCGTGGAGGTATACATCTAACATCCATCGCAGAAAATGTGGTTCGCCGTCTTCCAATATCCAGTCGTCGCCCTCCTCGTCGCCATCTTGACCGCCATCACCCAAGCTGCTGGAGTCTACTGTGAGTTCGAAAGCAAAGTACATTTCGCTAGACTATGGGTGAGTCAAACCTCCAGTCCCCGCCTGTAACTCATCTGACAATTTCCCCAAAGCTGCAAATCATCGGCACCGTCTCCCTTACCATCGCCCTCATGACCGTCATCCGCTTCTTCATGCAACTCCGGAAAAAGCTCTCCCACCACCAACCCCTCGCCAAATTCTTCGCCTTCAAGCTCGTCGTCACCCTCACCTTTCTCGAAAACATCATCTTCTGGATCCTCAAGGACACGGGCGCCCTCAACCCGACGTCCACCCTCACCGACGCCGATCTGCGCATCGGTATCCCTTCCATGCTCGTCTGCATCGAGATGCTGCCGCTGGCTGCGTTCTTCCACCACGCGTACTCGCACCGGCCCTATGTCATTGGCGGCGGGAACACGCGCCGGCCGTTGGCGGGGGATTTGGAGGCGTATGAGCCGCAGACGTATTCTGGTGGGCCCGGGGGTGTGTGGGCGCTGGTGGAGATGTGGAACCCGATGGAGATTGTGGAGGCGATTGTGTTTGGGTTGAAGATGAAGGCGGAGGAGAGGAAGCAGTCTAGGGCTAGGGGGCGTGAGTGGCAGTCGACTAAGTATCAGTCGGTCGAGGAGCCGTATGAGATGGGCAGGAGATGAGGGAGGTGATGGAGCGAGTTTGATGAGCGTTGATTTGAAGTATAAATTGATCATTTCATGGCACATAGATTTTTCCTGGCAGCTGTATATACCCTTGTTTAGAAGTTGACTCGCTTACATGTATTCTTTACTTGTCCACAGTAACAAATGTCAAGTGAACCTGGCTGGTACCTTAATTACTTTACACCATATGGCGATCCAAGTTGTGTAACTGAGAATATTAACCTGGTCTAGAATAAAAGAAATTCATACGGAAGTCGATTGGAGTTTTTTAATGAACGGCCAATACAGTTCGACTGTTGTACAGTAGCTCGTATTACTATATAGGCAAACATATATACTTTAAACACTATGTCTAAAGGGCGTTGACCTTGGCGGCATGCTCATAAACAAGCGGCTGGGCCTCGGCATCATCCAGGTAGATGGTGAACCCATCATTATGGTTGCGACCATACGAGTAGTTGGAGAAGCCGTACTGCCAGTACATATCCGGCATCTCCTCCTCCAGCGAAATCGCTTGCCACTTGCCCAGCACCTCTGTCCTCGGCGTGTCGTCCACCTTGCCAAGGTACTCAAGCCTCTTATCGGCCGTCAACCATCCATACTCCTCATGCACAACCGGCTTCCCAACCTTCTTCCCAGACGCCGCGTGATCCCGGATCCACTGCTCCGTCCACTCGACCGTCTTGCTCCACCAGTCAGGGTAGGAGTGGAACGTGCCAAAGTCGATGTTCGGCAGCGCGAGCTCGTGGTCAAAGTCGCTTCCGTCGGCGCCGTTGTACGCCCAGTCGTCTGATTCGATGTTGAAGCCGCCCTCGCCGCCCCAGGTCACGAGGTGCTTGTTGTCGAGGGACTTGACGTAGGCGCTCATTTCGGTGATCCAGGCGCCGAGGCGCTCGGGCGTGCAGTCGTCGCTTCGGGGGAGGTTGCGGGTGCCGTCTGCGCCGCAGCGGGGTTCGTTGGCGAGTTCCCAGGCCATGATGGCTGGTGAGTCCTTGTAGCGGGTGACCATTTCTTTTACGTAGCGCTTGAAGGCGTCCTTGATCGCGGGGACGTGGTAGAACTAGGTCCGCATTTGGGTTAGTATTCGGGTACCGCAGAGTCCTGTTTGTGGAAGAAAGTTGGGGGCTACTCACGTCGTCGTGGTATTTCCCACCCAAGTTAACCGTGTAGACGTCCATGCCGCCGTAATCGGCCCAATTATTGGTGAGCGCGACAATCAGCTTGATGCCGACCTTGTCCGCTGCGTTGACGACCTTGTCAAAGGCCTCAATGTTGATGATGGAAGTGCCGTTCTCCCATCTCTGGAAGACGATATCTGTGTCGCCAGCACCCTCGCCGCCATACTGGGGTAGACCACCAGCATTGTACGTGACGTTCTTGTCGTTGAAGCCCCATGTACGGAAGACCTTCAATCCGGCGTCCTTGGCTGCCGTCAAGCCGGCCTCGACATCGGCTTGGTTCTAGAAAACTTGGTCAGTTTCATCATATCTTGCTAAAGTCAATCAATTGGGCTGCTCTTTGCAGGTCACATACGTTGTCGAAAGGGAAGTAGTAGGCATTGCTACCCGCAAAGTTGAAGTCTTCGCCATCGAGCTGGAACTTTGTGCCCTTGACCGTGACGAAGCCCTTCCTGATGCATGCCGCGGACGCGGCTCCGCTGGCCAAAAGGCCAATGGAGAGCAGACCGGAGAGTTGAGGTAGCATTGTTGGATCAATTGACGGGAAGGCCTGCAACCAATTCCAGATAATCCTCTCGCCAGACACGCGAAAAGCCCGACAAGGCGGAGACACATGTTCGCGG